AGGGGCAACCCTGTAGGGGATGGATAAAGACGTTGCGTGCGGTGTCCGCCCGTGGCCGTGCTCGGATATATTCGTGAATGAACTCACGCGATCGTCGGCGGCGCTTTGACGTCACGCCGCGTGACGTAGCCGCAGATAACCCGCAACAAGGATCAGCTCGGCAAACGCGTGATTATCACAAACTATGACTTTACAATAAGATAAATACTGCAACGAACAAGTCCGAAATATACAATAGCTGACTCTAGAGTGCTGCTCGTATAACCTATTATATTCACCTAAGATTTACGGAATTTTTATTGAAATTGTGAACGCATTTGCACTATCTCAACCAGACGTTCACAATGATTTAACTGGTTTTACGCGAAATACATGAAAACGATGAGAAAATGTAACGCACCTTGATTTGGTGTAAGTCTAACAACTACTGGAAGAAACCATATCCATTTGATATTGATAACAAAATTGAGTTGGCTTTGGTTCCGGGTTGCGGTAGCATACAGAGGTCCTGAGACATAATATCGTTAAAATTAAACATCAAAGATATAGATATAAAGCAGAATATCTGAGTCATTGGAGCATTTTTAATCCACCAAAGCTGCAGGTAGAAGTACATCCGCATTGGCGGGCAGAAATAGCCCGGTTCCTTTCGCGGGGCAATGGAGCGGCAGTAACATATCGGGTGGGCCCACTTGTTACGCATTAACTTGTACATGGATGTGCTTCGGATAACACGACTTGCACATTGCACGTCAAGTGTTTTACCTCTGTAGTGAATGTACGGTTCTTACAAGCATTCTTTATTACATCAATAAATATAAATAATATAAACCAAACTTTGTTCTTGAACACTTATTTTGGTTTTGAAGGATGGTTTAATGAATCTATAAGAGTCATTGTGCCTGCAAAGATGTATTTAAAATAATTTGTTTAATTTATTTTTACTTTAGGTGTATAAAAAGTGTATTATATAAAAAGTGATTACAAGTTCTGTTATAATATAAAAACAGCACTTGTAATCATAATATATGTCTTCTAAAAGCAAACAAAGATTACATTCACTATTCTTGGATAGTAGACAAAACATCGCATCATTTTCATAACAAACCACCACCGCAATTATTACACCTGTCATATTTTTAACCTAACTCGCACAAGACGAACCTTTTTCTTTTATTAGTAATAGGTTATTCAAATTATTACTTTTTGTCTTCATTAATGATATTACGTATGTATCCATATTAACTGTAGTTAATTGTTTCGTCACGCGAAGCGAATCAATTGTGAAAATAATCGATCGTCACTACGTGCTACAAGCGTAAGTCAAGAGTAGCAGTCACTTAGGCGCCGTTGAGACTTTTGTAGCAGATTGTCACGGCAGTCACGGCCCCGCGGCCCGGCTTGACGTCAAACCAAGACCTGACGTCGCCTGCTCATTCGCCAAGCACTAAATCTTATAAGGGGATCTACACACTTAGTAGGTTATGTTTAGAGTCTAATTTTGAAGTTTTAAACCGACAATTTATTAGTATGACAAAACATATGGGAATCATTTAAATGTGCTTTTTCCTGAAGTACGCGAATCGGAAATTATAAATAGAATTTTTAGTCGATTTATAAAATTGACAGTTTTATTTTCGAAACAACTGCATATACAACTAAAATAACAGTTTTAATTAATTCATATATTTCCCTGCGTATTTTCCTTAATTAATTACAAAATAAATAATTCCATATAATCGGTTGTTTCACTTGCAAATAAGATCGAAGGCTCCTAGATTAGTATTCATCATTGCGTATTTTTCATCCTGCTTTTGATTTACAATGATTGTAATATTTAAAGGTATTCTTTAAGGCTATTTTCGGATTTTTTTTTCATGAAATTATCTCATTGGAAAAAAGTTTAGCAATGTGTGTGGGAGGCCTTAACGCCCACGTTGTACAATGTCGCTCAGTATAAAATGACGTAGGCACGATCAAAGTTTTCGAGTGTAAATAACGTGGACGGCATCGGTAGATTCCTACATCCGATATCGGGACCTTGACGCACTCTGACGTCAGAGGCCGTGCTCTTGAACTACGGTGACATTACCGATCAACTTTCACATAAAACTATAATTCGATAATTGTTACGAAATAGTACAATATATTTCTTTAGGAATCATGTATAAAAACTTTTTTTAAATTCACGCTTAATGTGTTATAGTTGTATCTTCTGATAATTATATTAAATAGATAGCAATTATTCGATATTGCCGTAGAATAACTATCTCTTGCACTGACACATCCGCACGTCCGCGAACATCAGAATGTTTTAAGGGGTATTTTCATTAAAACATTTTCATAATACTGACAAGTTAAATAAAGGGAGTGTGTTCCCAATGCTCCCATAACGAGCCCGTCCATTAGGTAAAAGGCGGAATGTTAACCGGGTCGCTCGCCACATACCTCCGCGTCTCCGGGGCATAGCGTGCTTGTAATTAAAATTTAAACTTGCCACCAAATACATTTAACTTCTAACTAACTTCGCAATGTTACCTACTATGAAAGACAGTTTATAACGTGCAAGCATGACAACACTCTTGCCTAATATTCCCTAAACTTTTTAAATATACATGTATAAAGTTCAAATAATTAAAGTTCAAACATTTTTTTGTAGACTAAACTGCTATTTTAGTAACGGGCAAGTATCCTAAATAACAAATGAGGTGCCTTTTACAAAAGCTAAATATAGATCGCGGTTTCTAAGGAAAAGTAAAAATACAATATCTAATTGATGTAACGATAAGATGGAGAGAGCACAGGAACCGAGCGCCGCGCTCCCCGACCCCGCGCCCTTCACCCCAACCGACCTCCGCCCTCCGCCCGCGGCCCTGCGTGGGCGTCGCTACACCATACACTCGACACAGCAGCTATTTATAGTGAGGAAGCGATAATGTGAAAGGGAACGGCACGCCCGTAGGCGGCCGGAAGTCACGGGGAAACGGTGAATCTTGACAAGATAAAACTGAATAGAAATCAAATGCTATCGAATGACGTCATTTCATTGACTAAAATCGAACGGGCAACTCAACGATCAAATTGTTCAACGATACAGTCATATAATTATACAATGTATGTATGTGTAAGTTGACTACAGCGTACAGCGCAACGTAATAGTTGCGTTCGTTTCGTTGTATGAATGGTGCGGCGGCCATTAAATGCGCTGCAGCCGTTCTCTAACTCAATGCATCGACAGCGACTCAATGAAGCCCGTTGCTGACGCCGTGGGCTCGGTACGACAAAATGATGAATGAGTTTATTAACCGAACGCCTTTTAATGCTCACTGCAATGCGTCAAAACCCGTCGACGTTTTTATGGTGCGCGAAAGAGAAAAGTTATGATGGATGGCTGCACGAAATGCCATTCACGGCGACGTTACAACAGCCAAAGTCAAATAAGCGAAATGCAAAATTTTCTTTTATACTAGACAACTTTTTAATTTCTAGAGTTGTTTTAATGCAATTAGTCTGATAATAAAGACAAATCGGTAAGATCACAAAAAATATAAAATTAAAAAAAAAATAGGTAAATATAACTAAAAAGTATTTTATCTGAATCTGGATAATTCATATCAGCGTCAGAACATATATTCAAATAATTTATTTTGTGACTACTTAATGTAGAATCGTAATCAATGTGAACTCAAGGTTGTTTCCATTCTCGTGAATGAATCCTTATTGACATTGACTTACTATTTACATGTATCGAAGAGCGGTAATTTGCATGTTCTAGTGTCAATTAGTTACGGCAACGGTGTTCATGTGTTCAGTGCATAAGGCCGCGGAACAATACTCAATAATATTCAACAGTCAACACAACACAAACTCAACTCAACTCAACAAACTCAGAGTTACAGAGAATAACACTTCGCTTCGTCTCGCTTATTTACATGCACCCACGTTGATCAAAGTTCAACTTGAAATTATAATGAAGTACGTACTGCCAACCCACGCCATTCTCATGTTTAAATTAAAAATGTATTGGATTCCGAAAATAGGTACATTTTAAGATATGCGTGGGTACATCATTCCAATTTTATTATAATTAAATTTCGCCTGTCAGAATCTATGCCGTAATACCTTTGATGTTCATGATTAAACAGGTTCGCAAATAACCTTCATTCTTAAATTACGATCAATACGTCTACAAAACATGAAACAAGCTATTGCTTTTCGTCCAATGAGAAGCTGATGGACTTTATACGGACTAGTATATATAAAGTAAAATTTACGATGACATTATGCAGTGTAGGAGTATCAACATAACTTTAGCAGGCTAAGCAAGACGTCGTGGGTAGCTAGAAAGCCGCGGGCGTCGTACACCGGAACACGACAGTCGACTTTTTCCCCCGGTACATGTAAACTCTCACGATGAAATCGGATTCCCACGCGTGCTTTTCCATCCTCACATTAATTGATATCGTGTTAGTTTTGTTGCGTTCAATGTGGAATACCATTTCACGTTACTGATGCATAAGTCATGAGTCAGCGTTACGTTAGGAATTATTTAAAAATGATTCATTCAAATTCCTCGACCGCTGCCGCTGTGGCCTCGTTCGGATAGTTTCCTTTGAGATCTGACGCAGCATAACATCTTCCGCTTTGTTTATTATGTTCATAAAATGTATTAACTCACTGATTTATAAACTGAACGGTGACTATAGATATTATTATTACAATAAATAGCTTATCCTAGAAACCTTATATACGAAAATGTTCGACTCATAGTAGCAACCATCTACATATACATACCTATTTATTTTAAACCTACTACTAAATAGGTTTTATTGAAAGTTAATAAAATTCGAAACTTAGAAGTTAGTTTTTATTTCATATCGGCCTACGGATGTGCTACGTTCCTTTACTATCTATTCTTTAATAAAGAGAATAGAGTACTATATATGGGAGACGTATACTAAGATACATATATTGTATTCAACATGAATAGCGTAACATACCTGAGGCCCATGAGCGGCAGGTGGGGCACGTGCTGAGCGCCCGCCTCACTGCACCACTCGGGATACGCGCGCCGGAACTCCATAAACTCCCCTGGTGACAACATAACCACAATTACTCTGCAAATCCATAAGAAAACAATACAGGTTACTATCATTTGTCACTGTTACATGTGCTCTATCTATATTATATCCTTTCAATCACTAATAGATTCGCTTTAATGGTCATAGCTTAGTTTTTGATTTAAAATTCGATAGTTGCCTTGGAGACTAAATTATCATCAGTATCGTGATTTGAAATTATAACGCTTTACAATACTTAATCGTATGGCTTTTTAGTTATGATAAGCCCGCTATAGGGCGATATGGAGATGTGTCGCATGATGTGCCGAATAGTAAATGATAGATATCTATATCTAAGCCGGTATTGTTGATACGTTTGTTTAAAGTGTATAGGTATATAAAATGGATCTGATTACGAGAAAGCTGACATGTTTTATGAAATGGTAAGTATATGATATACAATAAGAGGAACGACAAGCGACAGGCGACAGGCGAGAGGCGACAGGATGATGTCCGCCGGCCGGCTGTTTCCTGCCGTCCGCCTTCGACTGTCGATACGTCCGCCATTGTGATGCTAATGCGTCCGTTGCGTCACCGCGCCTGCAGTGTGGGACGACTTTATATTCCATGTCGTGATCTGATACTCATCTATACAGACTATAGGTTCCGTTTCGTAGTATTAGGTGCATAAGTCCCAAGCGATGGCTACCAAATGGTTATTTACAGGTAATTAAGTCTTATTCAGTATATCGAGTCATTGAAATTTAAATTTATTAATATTATAAATGTCAATCTTCAGAATGGCTCAATGGGTCTCGCTGAAATTTGGTATGCATATCAAATATAACAACAGTCTGGAAGATCATATTATAGGCTACTAATATGTTTTTTTTTGTGTGTACGGAGTAAGGGACAAATGCAAGTAGTTTATAAAACGTAAGTATAAGTGCCTATGTGTATTAATGTTGTTACATTTCTTATTGATAATACGATGCTCTACTTTCCACACGTATCTAGTATTAACGTAACAATTCTGAATAAACTTGTCTATGGGCGCTGACCGACTTTGCGACTCAGCGTGGTGTGCTTGGCTTTGCCTTTATTAGCGTAAAAAAAATTGGGCCGACGCAAAGTTGCAACGGATCCACGGAGGCACGCAGTCGCGCCGCGAGCGCGGGCGGGCGCGGGCGTGCAGCGGGATGCGGGGTGCAGGCGGGAGCGGTATCGATCCGATGACTCATCGCTCGGGCCCATTCATCCGCCGCTCTGAATGAACTCGTCGTAGCCACCCCGCCCGCGCCCGTCACCCCACGCGGCCTCGCTCGCAAGGACTCCATGAAATCCACCCGGCCCGGGTGAATCGAATCCTTTAGCTGTTCATACCCACACGCAGCTATCGTTAAACAATCCCAACTTGTTCCTACATCGCTTCGTTGAACTATCAGAACAGCATTTTACTCATCCATGAATATTTATAAGGCTCAAAGTTGAACAACCAAATCTTTTGCAATAAATCGTTTAATTCTTTCTAACCAATCACGATTAAAAACATCTATATCGATGTTTCAAAAATATATATATTTTTTAATATACGGATGACGCCACAGTAAAGTTCTAAAAAACCAATTTCTAGTCACTAAACTATACATCTTTGTTCAATATTTTCCTCTTATCGGAAGATTACTCTCGGAGAATGAATTGTATACCTTAAAAAAAATTAAACAAACACAGAAGTAAATAACGAACAAGGTCTGCCAATACAAATCAAATAAACACAATAAGAGTTAACTTAGAGAATAACTTCATAGCACGATAATGGCGACTATTACTTAACGAGCTTAACTCAAATGTACAAAATTCAATGAAACCCAAACCGGTATAAGCATTAGAACCAGTACCACCTACGTAATGTAATAACAAAATATAAAGCACACCGGCCGACAATTCGCAGCTGTCCACCCGAGCGAGTTCATTTAAGCATTCTCTGCCCACGCTGCCTACGCCCATGCACGCTACGAGCATGTGCTATAGCGTTGGGGACTTCACCGGGAGAGGGCGGGGAGGTGCGGAGCGGCGTGGGCGGCAGGTGAGGGCCGCGCAGGCCTTGGCCCTCCCGCGTCCTTCCCGCCAGCCTTGCGCCTTTCCAAATGCATGAGTTAAACAATTTGTTGTCGAATGTTCCCAACTCCTTGTATTCTAAAGTAATTATAATTTTCATATTGTTTTTTATGAATTGTACATTAATGAAAGTATAAAAAATATATCTACAATAGTAATGTTTAGTTTCAAAAAATGGTTTACCAATTTATTAATTCTGATACGTCAGAGATGTTTTATACTCTACATAACACAAATAGAAATTGATAATCTACTTACATATATTCCTACATATTACGTTACACATACATACCTAAATATTCACATAGGCGCCCATTATTGTAACGGCTTATGTAAATTACTTATTATGATAAGAATAAGCAATTTTATATTACTTATTTACTCTACATAAAACATAGTATAAAAATCTTTTTGCCTATATTACTAAGCGTAATGAAGTAGTACAAAAAGGTAACAGAGGTGTTCAATATTCAATATTTGCAATTCACATGATCATTACTGATTTAAATAGTTTTTAGATACGTGAATATGGTAATTAAAAATTGTGGATATCATCATTTTAATACTTATATTATTACTATGTGTTCAGCGATGCGTGTTTTGTTGTTAGAGGGCAGTGAAGCGAAGGTGTAGCGCATGCGCAGTAAGGATCACTTACACTCGTGGTAAATAGCAAACCGCGATTTTGCACGAGCGACCTTATGCTGGTCAGTGGTTATATACAATAGGAACTATTTTTTATCTCCGTGGCATGTTTTTATCATCTAAAGATTGTAACTAATAGCAATCGTAAAACACAATATATAAGTTTAGACGACGATCGAATAATCGTGATTAAAAATTATTTTGCAGATCAATCTCGTGAATCGAATATTGATTACGACTGTTAGACCAAATTGAATATGAAATTGTCTCCACTCCGCATGATATAACGCAATTAGAAAACGTATACTTAGTTTGTAGAGTGACTTCAGTTCCTTGATTTTTTTATGTATTGTCTGAATTTTTTCCTTATACCGAGTCCGTGTCTTCACATAAAATCATTTTCATAAATTGAGGTAAAGTTATTTTAAAAATAAAACTCTTCTTTTTAAGTCGAACCTTTCCTATAACGTAAGATAAAATCGATTCTCCTTACATTATTGATAGTAGAGGTGCATATCAAATGAAGAGACAGAATATAAGAAAAGATTTGCTTGGGTACTAAGGTAAATCGTCTACACATTTTTAGTTTTTATTGAATCAAACAAGGTTTAATCTCTTTTAACTTTATTAACACTTCATTAAAATCAATAATTTATGCACGAAAGATGAAAGGGTGCGAGATGACGCACTAAATGTAAGCATGTTTATTTAACCGAGTAATTTACGATACATGCATTATAAATCAGTCAATCTAACTTTGCTCCTTTTGTTATTGGAACATATGCAAAGTTACACTGACAATTTTTTCAACAAAATATAACAATAACTAGCGGTAGCACGCGACTTCGTCCGCTCGGTATTAAAAGAAACATAATCAGTACCTAGCTTGTGTTCTTATAGGCTGTGTTTTATATGTATGCCATTTCTATTGAGATCTATTCAGTCGTTCTGGAGATACCTTCAAACCATCCATCCATCTGAACATTCGCATTTATAATATTAGTAAGTAGTAAGATAAATAACACAGTTAACATTTTTAATATTGATATATTATTCGCTGAGAGGATGTTTCTGATGAGATAAAACGTAGACGGTTGATATGACAAGTCATCCGTTACTTATACAATGTAGCCAGTTCAAGCCCGGCCGATTATCATAAAAGCATTGGTACATTGCCAACTAATGATAAATCATGCCAAAGCAAAATCGGTCTTACACACTTATAAAGAAGTACAAAAATCTTACGCACACCACAAGAACATTATCAGAACACCGAAGGAAATGGTTAGAGTTAGTCTATTGAGTATACTTTTATTGATATTAAGAGCAGTTTATGGAAGTAGAGGTCTTGTGAAATGATCGCGACGTCTTAAATAGGGTCTAATGAAGCCTGTTGGGACAATTTGAAGCAATTTGTGAGATGGCGGGCGAGTTATAAATACCGCTGCGTATGGCCCTCGATTGACTCTATGCTCTAAAAGATGGGTCAATTATATCAAGCGCTCGCTCCCTATTTAGACTCGCAATAACGAGAGGGAGGATAGGCAGCGTTTATCTAAAAATATTATATCAAAAAAAAGTGTTATTTAAATAAAGTGTTTGCATCAATCTGATCATCATACTGAACCGTTAATTTGTAGGTTATTTAAGCCTAACAAATAAAAGTTAAGAAACGATGAATTCCGATGTTCAAATGTTCAACAACTCTCAATTCCATCAATCGTTTTTACGCAAATGCAAATAAATGTGTGATAAAGTAATCGATATATTGGCTAAATTTAGTTTCCATGTTAACGAGTCATGAAACAATAACGTTACGGCACTCTATCAACACAGTTCGCCGCTTCTCCGAACTATATCTGATTGACGTCACGATCTCGTTTCGATCCAGTTCCGAAGAATCGATATTGTGTGAAATTTAGAATAAACAAAAATATGCCCGCGCATATAAACTGTAGGCTATAAAGCACATTCAACGAATGAAACAAGATAAATCATACATCTAACAAACACTTCGTAATGTTTTTAAGACACCCTATTGAAGCTATATTTGAAGAGATTTGATTAATGCTAGAAAAGACTTAAATTAGGACTTTGGTGTTATGAGTCTGGTCTCTGTACTTGGTAAAATTTAAAATTTTGTCTGCCGTTTAAATAAATAGTACATACTAAAACATATATAAAGCAACGCATGGGCGTCGTCAACCTACGCAGCTCTAAAGGTGTTTATTTGCATAATTGTAAATAGTTTCATTGTATATAAAAATGTGAACAAAAAGCGACCTTTTTGTCTTGTTTTTTGCTCATTGAGGTCCGGCGTAGCGTAACGATACACAATAAAGTCATAACACAATGAGCTAAAGCGAAGCGCTCGCGGTCCGCGAATCATCCACCAAAAAAAACTATCAAAGCCAGTTTGCTTCCTCTATTACATAAATTGATAGTATTTAAGCGCAAAATGTACTGTAACTTGGAATAATATCTTTATTAAGTAATAAACCTTTATCTTATTAAGAAAAAAAAATCATCACCACTTCATGTTTGAATGTTTAATACGCTTTTCTATTTGCCTTTTGCACATAGTTAAGTTTACGTAGGAACCCTAGATGACGGTAGACTTTCCTTGTAGCGACACAATGAACCTTAATTCCACATAAACAAAACAATGGTCTTTATTCATATGTATTTTTCAATTTAATTCACAAGTAAAATTAAGTTACATGTACGATGTTTATTTCCAACAAATAGTACTCGTTGATAATCTAGAATATCTATAGACCGCGCTTCTTGATGTCTATATAGGTCAAGAAAGTACTAGCGTTTAAGTTGAGAGATCTTAATCACACTTGTAGCAATATGCTCTATCAAGCTAAACAAGTTAATATAAAATACTTATCTCACGAGATTAATTATTAATAATGAATACATTTATATTATAAACTTCATTTAAAAACGTTTCACGACAAAATCGTAAATAAATGTATGAATGTAATACGAATAATAGTATGTTAAAAATTTTCCTTGAATGAAAAACGTCAATCGAACTGTAGGGATAAAGATGAATAAGAACTAACATAGTGCCTACTTCGCACACATTGACGATCTGCACGCTTTGTGCGACGTTGCCAGCCCGACTAGGGCACAGAGAATGAGCGCCCAATAGACTTTTTTGTACGCAAAAAAAAACAGAATTATGTGCACAGTTGGGTAATTGATTCTTATTCAATTTCTAAAATTAGCTTTGGAATGATTTTTTCATTTCGTTTCATTTAAATTGCGAATAAATATATCATTGTCTTGTGACCCATAAATAAATATGCAGCATTATAAACGGTTAAAAATTCCAAGCTAATATAAGTTTATTGGATGACCAGATAAAGATAGCCTTCGATAAACAGAGCGATAATAAATAATAGATAAAAAAAACTGAAGGCTTGAAATAACTTGTTACAATAACAATGACAATAAAAAATAAAAATAAAAACGTACAAAATGTAGTCAACGTCTCTGTATTTATAACTACAAGGACAATTTTACGTTAACAATCAATTAAATTATCTGAAACGACGATAACAATGATTCGTTACTGAAACAAAGTCATGGCAAAATTCCCTACAAATTATTTATACTAATAATATAATATCTAAGAACGATTTGTTTGTTTGTTTGCATTAGGGTCCAAAACTACGGAACCGATTTGAAAAATTATTTCATCATTGGGAAGCTACACTATCCCCGGGTGACGTAGGCTACATTTATGACTAGATTTTTTTTATTAAATCATGGAGGACCAACTGCTAGTGTCTGCATCAATTTACACACATTTGGTAAATATTTTCAATGTGAAAATAATAAATTAGGCAAATAATCGTTGTGTTTAAATAAACATTGTGTTATGTAAACCAGACACAAAATTGCCTTCTCCATTATTAATACATCGGAGATTGCGCGGCGTCCGGTTGTGCGTACTTAGCACACAAACTCATGTTTTACGATCTAAACCAGCCCTTTCTGCTCGCCATCAAAATTTTCATTCACACATCTATATTAACACGTGTACTTTTAATTTTACGAATTATTGGCTTGGCTAAGATTTAAATTCCCCAAATTGTTATGTTTTTTTTTCGAATTTTTTTATTACGTCTATTACATTTTCTGAATCATACTGGATACATGCCTTTATTCATGTAGCATATAAATTTAATTTTGATTAAACATCGACGCTGTTCGTCCTCATATTTTTGTTTTATAATTATGTGGCAAATGAAGAAGCAAAACTCGAACGCAGATTACGAGCTAGTAAGAATTACGATTGTCGGGAAATTAATAAAGATATTTACCGGACTCAGGGGACCGGTACTATAAAAAAATGGCGGGCGCACATGTTTAGATAGTTGCACCAAATTAAATTGGCAGGACGTGAACGTAACAGGAACTTATTAATAAAATTGCGGCTCACTTCCGGCGACCGAAGACCGAAGCACCGGCGGCGGCTTCCGGTCAGCCTTTCATCTTGCGTGTTATATTAGTTAGATTAATGGCTCCCAGACACTACTACTCTTTACATACGTTTTCATTAAGAGATGTTGGCCAACGTTTTATAACACACATCCGACACCTCAACGATGATATATCTATATTTTTATAGTGTCAATGGTATTTATTTCCCAGCGTGGTTTCCGATACCCTTAAGAGACTTTAAATTTTAAGCGCGTTACAGGCCCTAACATCACTATTAATTAAAAGACTGTCGACTTCTTAGAACTTCACAAAAAGATTCGTGGAAAGCTGTCGATTTTTAATTATTTGTAATTACTTGTAACCTAGCGCGGTCTTAACTTCAGTTTAATTAGATCGAATATTTATGTGTTCCTGTGTTATATTCCGCTTAGAAGCGTACCTATTGGTATGTCAAATTTTATTTTATACCGGTGCGCGTAGTCAGTCCAGTGTCTTTAATTTAAATATAGTCTTCTTGCATTGTAATTATTTAATCTTATCTTTGAGAGAGGTGCCAAACTATTTTATTATTCAAGATTGTATCTGTTTTAACGTCATGCGAGAATGATTTCAAAAATTATTAAGATTTATTACATAAAAACTTAAAACACAACGTTGTACATAACACCATATAATCTTAAAGTAGACGTGTTCTGTGTAAAAAAGTAATCTGTAATAAATTAAAACAAGTAAGAAATAGAAATCTTTAACGAAAATTTAAGTGAAGGATCCGCACTTGTAGGCAAACTATAATATAATCCAGAACATCGCATACTTAATAATTGGACAGCTTGAAGTGTATATTATTAATAACATTATTAAAAAAGTAATAATACAAATCAGAAATTTCATATTTATAAGTTACCAGAGTTCCCCAGACAACGCGTCGACATATTGAAATAAGACAACAAGGTTTGTCGCAATAAAGTTGCGTTTACTACGAATTAGATCGGTTAAAATTCAACACCACGCTCGAAATACGAGCCCGACGGTTTTAGAATTCTCATAAGACGATAACAGGCTATAAAACGATGCGTATAAGGTAACGTTCTGGTCGCGGTGATCATAATCAAGCGTCTCGCACTGCAGAGCACAATAAGTAGCCGACTTCCTCTCCCACGTTTGGTGGAGCGGATGCCTCGACTTGCGACCTCCGGCAACGGTCTTAGCCCCCTGTACATTTAAACTATTGTTCATCGCTACGTACTGAATCAAATACCTAATGCGTGAAAGTGTTTTCTGCTTACCAAATAGTATCTGTACATTTTTTAGTGTGTATGAAAGATAGAAGGAAACCTATGATCCCAATATCTTGGTATTATAATTGAGACAAGGAAAAATAACACACAAAGGGCATATTTTACTAATAATTAAATGGACAAAATTAACAGGCTATCGTAACATTTATATTAATTTACTTATAAATTAAATTAGAGAAAAACTTCATAATTGCCGGTTCTCAGCGCAAATACGATATGTAATTTGCATAAATTAGCATATCATAAATAGCTGGCCACTTCCAGCACGCCAACTTTATTAAATTGAATGATTTAAAAATCGTGCGGGTATTTTTCGTCAATGAATGATTACGAAAGGAACGTCAGATCGTGTAGCAACTGTTACGTTCACCTCAATCGGCGGCACTTGACTGGAATGAATGAATTGCACTAGTGGGGATGTGCATGTGGGATTCTTTTTGTTCAAAGTTTGATACATGTTAATGATGTGTTTCCACTGCCTAGACATGTATAAAAACATATTATTTATCATTAATTCTAATTTGCTTCTTTCAAATCAGAATTACACAAATGAAAATGTTTTTTATACTTGACTTACAACAATGGAAACTAGATATCAGACTGAAATAATTCAGACAATGAAGTTACATTTTAGGCATTTTTTTTACTACCAATTATAATAAAGTTTCAATATTAATAATATTCATTTCTAATATTAGTAAATTATTTCATAATTAAATAAAATTTGCTTTACATTTTTGAACATACTTCAGTATCATTTTAATATATTAAATTGATGAAAATGATTAACTAAAAGTTATAAATATTACCATCTATTTCTAAAGAAACTAAAAATTAATTTTCATTCATTTAAATAAACATATTTTATCATGTATAATATATGAATCACAAGAAGCTATTAAGCATTGCGAACAACTATATTTATATTATGTCTTACTAGTAGTATTGTCAGATATAATGAAGTATGAACCATTAAACATAGTATTGTAAGCTAAGCAATATGATGTTGTATGATTGTTTCAGTTTTATAATAGAGTCACAGTTTATATGTTTGTAAAACATTTCCAGTAATTAATGTTAATTGTATGGATGTTGCATTTGCAGCGCAGTTGACAATTATGAATGAAAAGTATGGATATAGCTATTTATATGGAATTGATATATTACTTGTTTTAATGATAATTTTATGCTACAGTATGACAATGTATGAATAATTTGATTCTAGTAGGTTTAGTAAAGATTGCTTATATTAATATTATTAAATTCATATACAAAAAAATTAATTACATATTTAAAAAACATCTCTATTATGTTGTAATGTTCAAGCTTATGAGTCTAAAAATGTTACATGTTAACTTTCCATAGGAGTTTTCCCCTGAAAAGTGAATAAGCATGTCTTAGTTAATTAAAAATAATTACCTTCGAGGCAGACGACTTGCACGCCATCTTGTTTGAGTCTCCTGAGTAGAATTCCATGTACAGAGTCAGGGTCTCGGGGCGCTCCATCGCTGTATAGGACGAAAGTGCCCCGAGAACAACAGTGTGTGATCCTCGCCTTCAACTCCTTGCACTGAACCGTCGACGCGAGCTCTATCTTTCCTGCCGCAAGCCGTCGCAACATTATGCTTGGGATGGAGAAGTTCACAGCGGATCGTATATGAGACATGGCATACTCATTTGATCCTCGACAGTCGATCAAAATCATATCCCTCTCGTCTGATCGCAGCTTGGCTAAAAGCCATTCCTTTGACACCAGGTCACACTCGCATTCAGAATCCATAGGCATCTTGTAATCACAATGTTCTTTACTGTTTACACGAACCCTTTACGTCCCCTTAGAACGCCTGTTGCACTCTACTTATGCTTATAAACCACGGTAATGAAAATGTTATTAAACTGCAACATTGTTGGCATTATAAAGAATATAACAATATTTTTTTAAAACAGTTCAAAATAAAGAAATCCATCAACATAAACACTTCACAATCCTCACGTCCACAACGAACGAGCTAGCAGAGCGCAGCGCGCTAGGCGTCGCAAGGCGTAGCAGAACTGCAAGTATTCTACTCCAAAGAGTATGTAAGTATTTACTTCGACTTCGTAGCAAGAGTCGAGACTTAACACAACGAAGGATTGTCAATTTACGCGGCAAATAGTTGCCAGCACAAGCACTGACGACTTTTGAGGGCTGGCTAAGACACGAAGTATTTTGTGCCTACTTGATTGAAGACTTTTGGCGTTGATGGTAGTGATTTGTAACGGTGTTGGGGATTGGAAATAATAATATAGATAGAATTGACTCTCACGTAATTTCGACAGCCGCGTTTAAATTGGATCGAAGAAAAAGCTATCATTTCCGAGCAATCGCCTATCCATTTATAGTGATCAGTGTTGCCAGGATAAAAATATTTTGTTTGACAATTTTCTAAGACAGGAGGAAAAACATGGATACCAATCTAAAGAGGTCAATAGTGATGAGCGCATATGAACTATAGAAAACGATAAAATATAGCGTGGTTCGGATGGGCCCAGATTAACTTCAGAATATTATATTTGAAATACCTTCACAAATTTAAGGTCCTTGCTGTATTATAGTCGTAGTCATTTTATATTCTTTATTTAACAACATTAGACCTAAATTTGCCAAAGGGTAATAACATAAAAAGAAAAGTTCTCGTTAAATATGCATTGACCGATAAACAATAAGAATTAGCTAAAAATTAAGTTTTCTTACAAACTTAATCATACACTCTTCACTGATCTTTTCTGTAGACGATTGTTATATGTTCCGAAAATCCCACATAAAACCATCAATCCAGGTAAGAATCCATAACTTAATAGTATCGTATACGACCTGTAAAACATTTTGAGTGGCAAATACGACTAGGCGCCAATGGTTTCCTTGCTATTGAAAGCTTTATATTGTAAATTTTTATTATGAAGATTACGGAATCTATTTAGTATTACTTCAACTAATGTGAAAAATAAATTAGCCTACAATTTCGCATTATGCATACGGAACAAAAGTTTTCGATGGTTCATATCATACTACTAGAAAATATAATGGAGACATTTAACATCAAAAATTACTGTTATCGCTAATTATATTCTAAATAAATGGTTAATGAAGCTCACAGGCGCAATTTCTTTAAAAATAACCTTTTAGGTTATTTTCTCACCTTGTATAAAATCTCCATGTTTTGCGTGGTAGCACTTGATTTTTTAATAGAATTTGAATAAAATTCATAGAGTTAGAAAAAAAACCGCACAATTTCATAGTAAAAGTATTAATTTTTAATTAAAACCTAAATAATTAATTGACAGGATATGTTTCACGAATACCTTCAAAATCAAACGCCTATGGATTACAAACTCAGGATTTTTAAGCATTCTGTAGTTAATTATTAGTCTTGGTGGAAAGAAAACATATGATAGAGTGAGAAGGGATGTCTATCATGATAACGCTGCATAAGTCCATACAAAATATTTTTGAATTGTAAGCTTGTTCCTTTTCCGCTCTTGGTTAATTCTGCTCAATAATAAGAATTATATAGGTCCATGCTACGCTCAACGTTGATTTAAGAGTTTGGGATACTTGGAATAGAATCATAAATAAAAACCGTTACATAATAACAAACTTTGTAATGTATGAAAAAGACGCATGTAATTTGAAAATAAAATTCTCGGAATTCTCAATCTTCTGAATTTTTATTCTGTTTCAAATTTAGAATTATTTAATCTGTATTACACGCTTGTCTTTGGCCAATTTATAGTCTATAGTTTTCATTCAAAGTCAAATGTTGTTGTTTGGATTGGACGTATTGGAAGAAACTAGAAAAATAATATAATTAATTCTTAATTATCTCTATAGTAATTACATATTTTGTTATAGACGAATGGTCAATAAAATTATAAAATGTCTGCCATGGATGATATTTACACCAATTTAGAAAACTATGATGACTACAACAAACTTGAAGAGGTAAGTGCTGCATTTTAGCGCCAAATATTACCTGTCTGACATTTCAGTTTCATTCGCATTTGTGTTAAAAATTTAAGATATTTGTATAGAGTATTTAAATACGTATTTTATTTAAAATTGCAGCTCCAAAATGAAAACAAAACACTGAAGTTTAAAATTGAAGAATATACGTCGGCAATAAATAAGCTTCAAAAAGTAAGTTTACTTTTTGTAACATTGTGTTTATATAGATATTCTACTTGTTTAACCTGCTATTAGACTTAAAGATTAAGCTAACTCTAATCGGTTTGTTATAGTGAGTCTTTTGCGTACAACATGATTACCTAATTTTTCAATATGTATTTAAACTTTACTCATTAAAGTACATGTTTATGTTATCTAAGACAGTTATCTTAGATAAGTTAAAGTGCAAGTAGTACTTTATGAGAAACTTAATTCTTACCAAAGATATTTAACATATCAATAGATATGACAGTATGCACAAAACTATTTTCACAAGATCAATCACTGGTCAATTTTTCCATTATCTAGGTTTGACATGCTAAGACTTGAGCACATATTTCTATGTTCTAGAATGTTCATTGTCTTACTCTAAGTTGCCAATATGGTAATATAAGCTATCTGTGTTATATAGTTTTATTATTGTACATATACTATGGTGGATTTTGCAAAATGTCACAATTGTACTGACAATTGTTGTCTTTTCGTTTTCAAAGATAATCTGAGGGATACTGATAAAATATGTTTCAATTCAAATGAAAATATATGTCAATACAAATTGCTGCAGACAAAACCCAAAGTTAAAGATGCAATGTTTATCAGTATGTAATGGCAAAAAAAAAGTAATTTTTTTTGATATTCAGTAACAAAATTTGTGCGTTAATAATTTCTATTCCATGTTATATTATTATATTAGAAACAATATATAAATACCAGATTCTTCAACTGTTTATTTATCAGATTCTATAAACACTCTTTTATATGTTCTCTAAGAGCAGGACGGATGTCAATTGATGTTTTAGAATATTTTACAGGATTTTGATATGTTAGCTGTGGAACATAAAAAACTGGAGTTGAATTATTCATCATTACTCAAAACTGCTAAAGCTGAGATTGAGAGGAAAACATTAATGATAAAGGAGCTAAATATAGAGTAAGTTTGTTTGTTATTGATTATTATTGAACTCAATTTGAAATAACTGAACAAGATTCTCTGTGTTTACATTGTTTTATTTACTTAGATCGGCAACAGGTACACCCTGGTTCATAGCTGGATATAAATTGTTAAGCCATTAAAAATTCATGCTATTATATTTTTTACAATATTTGATATAAGTTGGATAAGATGTTTGGCTCAATGGGAATTTATTTTCCACTTGGGCAAGTTGATTCAATGGCTTTGATTAGAAACACCTAATGTTAAATTTATGTTTATTTATCCGTCATTTTGTTACAGGAAAGATAAATTAATAATAAATGCAAGACAGAATAATATTAAAAGTAAATTCAATAAGTTTCAAAGTGATAGATTTAATTCTAAAAGTAATAAAAGCTCTGATACAAGCAGCATACAAGAGCCAATGCAAACACATCGTAACAGCCAAGTTGTACACAATGAATTGTAAGTACACATTTAGTAACTCTTAACCTCAAATTTATAGTTACCACATAAAATGTTTTTGTACCTAGTTTTTTAATGTTGGTATTTGATCCTGAGATATGCCACTTTAAATGAGAAATGTAATTAATTTTAATGCATTGTTAAAGTAAACTTTTATTTAATTCTCATTAATAACCTAATATTTAAAGGTCCAGATAGATAATAATCTCAAGAGTGGTATTAAAGCATCCCAAAGTAATGTGCAAGTATGCACAGATGTATGAATATGTAAGAAGTGACAGTGGTTTAATGTTTTACTTACAGTAAAAACGACAATACCTCACCATTAGACACATCAACCTGCAGTGGAGATACAAGAGACTTGAATGACGCCCTTCGCTTAGCCAACAAAAGTATCAAAAATGCTACAAGTTATACTAAAGAAAATTCAGTACACATGTCAAGTAAACTTGAAAACAAAGAGACAGAGGTAAAAGTTAAGAAAATTATGAATAGAAGAAAGTCAATGCCAGCATCAAGGTAAATATGCTTTTTAACACATCTTCCCTATATTTTGTCATAAAGTATGTAATATTATAATTAACATGTTCCAATCTAGCATATATTAGTCATTATAATTTTTGTAAACACTTTTACCTTTTTTTCAGTTGTCGAGCTGTAAATTACAGTACAGACGATGAACGTGAAAGTAGTGTAACAACAAAATCAAACAACACCCAACATCCGATACAGGATGAGAAAAAACAATCTTCGGATAGGTATTACCAAAACTATAAAACATATGACACATCAAGTTTGGAAAATAACTACACACATTATCAAGAACAAATGAGTTATAGAAATAAATCGTATTATTACAATGATAGTAATTATAGGAACAGGGATAGTTATGATTCTTCACAAAGACGTCGCTGGAATATTAGTCCGGATAGATCAAATCGAAACGGAAGAGATTATACAGATTATTACCATCAAACATACAATCGTAGAGGTCACGACAGCCCACCACGAGACAAATCTTATCACCAAAGTAGATCGAGCGATCGTAAATATAATTACCAAAGATCTCGCTCAAGAGATTATTCAAGAAGTAACAATGATAGTGGAAGGTACAGTGACAAACATAGACTACAAGATGACACAGAAGAACCAAGTTACAAGCGACAAAAATATGAACATTCACATAAATATAATGAGGATGGAGGACGGCAAAGAGATACCAGTAATAGCAAAGCCACATTGCCTATGTTAATGGAAAATTCAGTTTCGTGTCAATCACCCGACTATGTACATGCTGACAGTCATACATCATTAGCGCCTATTAGAGGTAACAGAAAAACAAATACAGTAGTATTTAGTGATAATTACAACTGCTAGTTGTTTCAAATTTGGAAGCCTTATAGTAATTTTTATGTGTGTTGAAAAACTAGCTGTTGTCAGCGTCCGCGTAGAATTAAAAAAAAAACTAATAAGTAGCCCATGTGTTCTTACAGGCTATTCTGCATTTATGCTAAATTTCAGCGAGATCCGTTAAGCCTTGAGATACCTACAAACAAATATCCATCCATCTAAACAATCGCATTTATAATATTAGTAAGATTACAACTTTTTCAGAAATAAGGAGTACCGCTGTCATGCACTTAGAAGACCCACGACTCTCTAGTAAAAAGTATAAAATAATAAATGACACTGATAGAGAAATTTTAACAACAGTTATTGGAAGAAATGTAGACATTATACCGGTAAATAAGAAACTATGGGATTTTAACCCAATTCCTATACCGAAAGCATTAATCGAACCACCTTCAAGTTACATAGAAAATATGACGAAAAGTTTTAACATGGATTATTATTCGAATTATAACATGATTGGTGGTTCAAATGAAATGTCATATAGAACTAAGGGAGATTATTATTCGAAATATGAACCTGCTGATCTAATACAAAATAATAGTAAAGATGCTATTATTTCTAATGCATTTACAAATAAAGAAATACAATGCAAAGAGGAAGCAAAAAGCAATGAAGCAACAGTTAGTATGGACATTGAATCACATACTGTTAAAGATAAAACTGATGCTGCTGAGGCTTCTAAAAGTTCAAAAAAACAAAATAATTCTGAGGTTTCTATAGGTACAGATGCTCTTAGAAACAAAACTTCTAATAAAGATTCAGTGGAAAAATGTTCTGTTTCAAGTCAGGAAATTTCACAACCTGTTGAATCTAGACATACCAATAATGTTAAAAGCTACAATAATAGAAATACACAAAAAAATGTTAAGAACAAGGGAAAAAGGCTGACTGATAACGAAGATTCTGAAAAATTTATTGAAAATAGGAATCACGAATTAGCTATGTCGAGGAAAATTGTTGAATCAGATCTGACTTTGAGCGACGACACGAGCGATAATTTTGATCCTCCCCTGACAATAGTTGACACACAAACTAAATCTAAATGTAAAAAATATAAAACAAAGGAATCAAAAAACCACAAAGCTACTATAGATTCGAAAAAATCTGAAAATACTTTAGAAATCCTTCCACATACAAATACTGCAGAATGTAAAATAAAACATTCACCTGAACAGGAGAAAACTAAACACACTGAGCAATATTTAGAAACTACTAAAAAACAAAAATGTAAAAAGAAATCACAAGAAGGCAAAGACGACGTTGACGATTCTAAAACATGTAAAATAAAAAAGGCCAAGAAAGAAAAAGAAGGTAAAACAGAAATAAAAACAAAGTTTAGCGAACTGTTTGGAGACAGCAGTAGTTTAATAACTTGCGATGATCTTGGAGTGGTGCCGCAACAACCTGAACGACCTAACTTTGGCACTATTATTGAAGATACTCAAGATGCTGTCGATATTAATATAAAGGAGATAGACCAATTTCAGGCACAAAATGATGAAAAATATGATACCAAAGAACAAGCGAACAAACAGACAGAGCCTATGACCGTAACAGCTGATAACAAAAAATGTGATCTCAAAATAAATATAAGAAAAACGGAAGACAAATATACTATAATTAATGAAGCTACAGAACCGGTTAATCTATTTAACATAAAAGCAAACGCAGTATCTAATATACCTGATACCATTATTATATCTACAGGAATGCAACAACAAAATGTATTCAACAATGATGTAGAATTTAGACAACCGATGAATATGAACTGTGTTGAAAGACTGCAACCTCATCTTAGTCCGGGGCTGGCTCTGGCCACATCTACTCCTGCGAAGACACAAGATCAAATGCAAAAGGATGCTGCTGCTTTACAATCTGACTGTTCCAGTGTTAGTTCATCTGACGCTATTATAGTCAAATCACAGATGAAAAATCAAACATCTGACTCAGATTGTCAAAAGGAATCAGATGTGCCTGATGTCAGAATATTTGTGAAACGAAGAAGAAAAGGGAAAAAATGACACGATGGTGTTATATAGTTATTTTTAAGTTCTATTTTAGTAATGTCTCAAATGCAAAACTTTTAATAGCAAATACAGAGAGTACGCTGCGTACTTGTATTTGATATATATTGTTAGGAAGATAATCCGAAAATGTGGCATTGTATTGACCCAACACTAGCCTTAAAATGTCGACGTTTGTATCCCCTCACTAATCATTCTGACACTGGACTTTGTAACGAAAGTACGTCATTCGCGCAAAATGATTCTTTAATTATGTCTAAAAATATTTAGAAGTATTTAATATTTGAATAATAAATATTTTGACGCGACTTCAAATGTAACATATCTATGTTAATTTGAAAGTTACCAAATTTATATTACTTAAGTATAACACCCCATTCCGGTCCTAGTTTCGATAATTGTAGGGGATTGTTAAATACAGGCTGTTTATTATTAGATTTAGTTCATAAGTTCTTTATTCTTAATGTTTGTTTTCTATATGAATACTACTATTCTCTCTAAGTTTGCTCAAAAGACATGACAAACTGTTAAGATTTGTTAAAAAAAAAATTAGAGTGAAAATGTAAAGAAATATTTTTCATATGATTGTCACTATGAAATATTGTAAATAAAAAAAAATAGTATTTTGCAAAAATACTTATGATAAAATTTATGATCTGTCTCCGTTGTTGTACATCCATAGTTTTAGAAACATTGTGTTGTCTATAATTGTTGTATAAACTGTTAATAAAAAAAAAACTTGTTTTAATCCCATAACAGTCTTTATTTTCTTAATAAATAATCTTAATCTATATATACAATGTGTATTACACAAGTTTACAATAAACGATAGTTGACTACAAATTGATGAAAGTTGATCATTTCACTTATAAAAAATTCGAGTTGGACAAAATGTCCGACAACTTTGATGCGATTTAATTACGTATTTATAAGCTTTTATACAGTACAGATTATATGCAGATTTTATACAGCACCTAAATTACTTAATTATAACTTTTAATAACTTAAAACTAACTACATAAATAAGGCGAATACATTTTCAATATTGATACAATACATCAACATACTGAATTATTGTGTTTAACACAAATTTAAATTTCTACGAGACTATATCCATAATATCTATGCATACTTTGTAAAAGAAAAAATATTTCTGTATAGTTTAAAGTGGCAACCCTAAAACTTGGGACTATGGCTTACATTTTAAAAATTGTAAATCTATTAATTTGTAAAATTATCAGAGGCTGGAAGTATTTTTATGGGAATTTTGTTGAACCTTGTATCGTCGTATCGACAAATTGGCGCAGCTCCTCTATCAGGCGTTAACATAACTAAGAAACTTGCGAGCACAAACGTCATTTTGACGTATGATGATGCAATTTCTGGCGGCTGCTATAGTCTCACGAGGATCTGATGCTGTCGGAAAATATTTGAACTAACAATGACATCCTGACAGCGTCATATTCTGACCAATGAGTGACAGTTATTACATGGTCAAGTCAATGCGATATTAAATTACAAGGATTGTCATTAGAAAGCCTATAATTATCGCTGAGAGCTCGGCCTAATATTACTCATACAATACTTAACACACATCCAAAGTACTATCGGTGAAGGAAAACGTCGTTATCCAACCAACCTGCCCGCACTGAGCCAGCTTGGTTGACTATGGGCTACTCATCTCTAACTTAGGATAGGTCCGAGTCCTTCAGTGGCCGTATAGTGAGCACATGACGAATACTTAACACGTCGTGTCATGTCACGATTGCTTACTGTCGAATCCGTGCAACATTAGTTGTCATGTGATGTTGATCAAGGTCACCTTTTAGTGTCATCGTGTTATGATTATTCATAACATGTACGTTAAATCATTAATATAGTCCATGTGTAGGATAGTCACAGTACACTACCGTCTGGCTTGGCTTCAGTAACGTGACGTCATCACAAGCTAGGCGGCGGAGTCCGTGCGCTATAAGCCGTATCTATCATTGGATAATGTTCCTATAATATTATTCGCCATGGGCACATCATCGCCGCGACTGGTGGTGGAGCTGGAGGAGGAGGTGCCCGGTTTGGGGGCGGGGCGCTTGCCTAGCTTGCGAATGACCGCAGGCTCGGGCTCCGGGGGCTCCGCGGGCGGCGTCACGTGCTGGTAGCAGACTGCGGACGCGTGCCCCGAGCGTACCGACGTCAACGGTGTACCCAATTTCCACGTGTTGGTCTCCGGATCGTACACTTCCACTATGTCCAGGAATGAAGTACCGTCGTAGCCGCCTAGGGAAAAAAATAAAAATTATTGATTTAAATTATGTAACAACAGGCTTATAGTCGATGTATTGAATATAGTCAGAAAAGTGTTGGTGGTGGTGGTCCACTGACCCATGGCGTAGAGCTTGTTGTCGAGCACGGTGAGGGAGAGGGCGGAGCGCGCGACGTGTACGGGGGCGACGCACTCCCACACGTCGCGCTCCGTGTCGTAGCGCTCCACGCTGGCGAGCTGCTGCGCGCCGTCGTATCCGCCCACCACGTAGATGTACTGGTTCAGTGCCGCCACACCTGACACATATACTCCATCATCAAACTTACTACTGACATTGTAAAAATTTTATGTAAATCATCAACCTGCCCTTATCCCTATCGAGGGTCGGCACAGCATGTACTACGCCTCCATACATCTCTATCAGCCGTCATAAATTGTAAAAATTTTATGTAAATCATCAACCTGCCCTTATCCCTATCGAGGGTCGGCACAGCATGTACTACGCCTCCATACATCTCTATCAGCCGTCATAAATTGTAAAAATTTTATGTAAATAAATACAGAAAAAATAATTTTTTGCTACAGTATGTAAACTTGCTACTGATTCGTGTGTACCTGCGCCGCTGCGTGCGACATGCATGGGCGCGACATCGCTCCAGCGGTTGTTTTCTGGATGGTAGCACTCGACGGAGCGGACTCTGCGCGCACCATCAAACCCGCCCACCGCGTACAGCAGCCGGTTGACAACGGCCACGCCCACACCGAGCCGCGCGCTGCCCATCGCCGCCACCTGCGTCCACGTGTCCGACTCCGGGTCGTAGCTGCAACACGACATCACTTTCATTTTATACAATGTCGAATTACTGTTCTGTCATCTGTTTTTTTTATTTAGTTATCGATTACAAGTTAATGAATTCAATTACTCAAAAGATTTACCATTCAACAGATTTGTGGTACTCGGAGCCGGCGGATCCGCCCACAGCGTACAATAGGCCGTCCATTACGGCCACGCCCACCTGGTGAACAAGAATTACTGAAATATATACATGAAAGTTACGAATTTATTCCTATCTTTGTAATTTATCCAATGTACTGAATAAACCGCAATATGTTTTGGGGCGGGACTTACCCTGTGTCGGGGCGTGGCCATGGGGCTGCAGGGGCGCCAGTGCTCGGTGGCGGGGTTGTACACGTCCACCCAGTCGCTGTCGTAGGAGGAGCCCGGCGACGTGTTCCGCCCGCCCACCGCGTAGAACAGCCCCTGCCAGTTACGTTAAAACAACTTTCACAAAACTGATTTTAATATCAACTTCACAGATAATTAACTCATTTAATTTTTTTTTAGAAATTCTTTCAATCTCTTACTAATAATAATACGTCATAAAACGAGTCATCACAATTACTTTGCAAAAATAAGAACATATTAGTCATATGCATCCAAAACAAAGAAACATGTGTGTTTGTTAGAATGCAAGAAGCAGTATTGTGTTACCTTGAGGAAGGCGGCGCCGAGTCCGGAGCGCGGCACAGTGAGGCGCGGCAGAGTGCTCCAGCAGTTGTCGTCCAGGTTGAACGCCTCGAACACGTCGATGGAATGTCGGAAGTATCCGCCCGCCACGTAGATGATGCGCGGCGTGTTCGGTCGCCGCTCCTTCACTACCGGCTTTTTATGTAATGTCAGATCCTACAAAATAATTGGTTTGGTTCTTATATGCACATCGCTTCCCGCCTTTGTAAAGGAAGCGGCCCTTTTATTTATAACTTAGATTTAACACGTTATATTCTACTCAGAGCAGAGCAGCATTTTAATATCACAGGATGTTCTTTCTAAAGTTTAAATATAAAAAAAATTAAACTGGAATCGGAACTGGAAGCACCGTCAACACAATTCATCCTTCATGTAAAACAGACTTCTGTTTATTGCTGAATCAAAAGTAAGCTTTATCATGCTGCAATAAAATAGGATTTACCTTAAATATCTTGGCGAGGTACTCCCTGCAGGCGGGCACCTTCTTGAGGACTGTACAGGTGTTCATCTGCTCCTTGAGGAAGCTGGGCGTGAGGTACTGACACCGCACCGCCTGCAGGATGTGCTCCATGCGAGGGTACCGCCTGTCCTCGTCGTATTTCACCTGCAAAACATAAAACATCATCATCCACCATCACCAGCCTAGGTCGGTTCAACGTTTTCTGCATCCGACTAATTCTTGCCGTACTAATATTATTGATGTTCAATCACAAATACTATACATCTATTAAGTAGCATTGACTAACTGTCGACTCCGTCCGCGTGGAAATAAAAAAAAATATTAGTAGGCTATGTGTTCTTCCAGACCATCGAGTTCTGTTAAGACATTCTACAGATACTTTCTAACAAACCTCCATCCATCCATGCATCTAAACATTCGCATTTATAATATTAGTAAGAAGTAAGATTCATTATAAATAATTTTATAATAAAAATACGATGTCGAATAACTTGCAGGGCTAGTCGGCGACATTGAAAATGTTAATCGTGGTATACTACTGGTTAGACATTAAGACATTTTGCATTTTCCTTCAATCTCTAAAAATCTATGGTTTTATATACACATAATACATGTTGCTATGCTATTTTTATACATCTTTGTCAGCATTAAACAATTCTGTTACCGGCTCAAAGTTTACGCGCAAAAGATAAGGAGTCCGACTCGATTGAAATATTTTTTTTCATATCACATCATATGTTTAGTGATTTTATCTTTGTACTTTATACTTTGAACTATAACTCTTGGTCAAAGTCTTATAAAACTTTCTGAGGTTGTCTAAACGCCGTTGATTTTTGAAACAATAATCTCTATACAAGACATATTCCTCTCATTATCTTTGATAAAATAGTTATATGTTTTAAACGACAATTTTGGTCTCAAAAACCCACGGTAAATAATTTGATGGTTTGTCATACGAATGGATTTTAATGTCTTATAGCAATAGTATTATATAATTTAAAATAATAAATTAAAAACTATATAAACAAAGGAAAGCGTTTTATTTTTTAATATTATCTAAATTATGTTCTCTCATGAGCTCGGAATCATCAGAATTATGTTCTGAAAATCTTCTTCTGAATTTCTTACACGGAAATCGTTCGCAAAAATTACAGCGACTAAATTTAATGAAAATTTACTAATTTACCTCTGACACTATTTGACCGCACCACAGAATATAACTTGACATTTAAAAAAGCAGAAATATTATGACGTTATGCAGCATTTCATTTGATTGTTTTTTTTTTTAAGTTATTTTATATAGCTGTCGCCGTCGACTCCGTGCGGAATTAAAAAAAAAATAGTAGCCTATATGTTCTTCCAGACTGTGTTCTACATCTATGCCAAATTTCAGCGAGATCCGTACAGCCGTTCTCAAGATACCTTTAAAGAAACATCCGCCCATCCATCCATTTAAACATTCGCATAATATTAGTGAGAAGTAAGACAGATGACGTTAAATTTATACGTTGATGTAACCAGAGGTGTGTCAAAACCTTATCATATGATATTATTCATTTCGTAGCACAAAATAAAAGCCACAAATTAGCAAATTTACTTGTGTGTTTGTATACGTCGCGACTATTTGCAAAAATTTATCTAATTTAATTAACAGTTATAATTTGTTAAACATTTTTATATTAACATTATCGTAGGTTTCCACTTTGTTAAAGCATGTTATCACTTTCACTCACTATGTTTAAAAAAGAGAGAGCAATATTAAGTAGACGTATTCCGCAGTTACTTATAGTAACATCTTAAAATGACTTAACTAGTTCTAGTATCAAACAAAACGATTACGCACGTGACGAATGCATTTTAAAATTGATAAGAATGTCTTAAATTGGCACTCTTGATAACTTAGTTTAAATTACAACTGTTTTTATGAGAATCTTTAGCAATCATGACGCACGCAGTCTGGAAAAGATTTATTACCCGGGGAACCCCACAAGCCACAGAGCAAGCAACGCTGTTATTATTTACACCAAGATTCGGTCGCTTAGGAAATTTGGATATTTACTGCTATCAATATATATTAATAAAATTGAAGTGTCTGCATGTAATATAGAGAAAAAAAATCATATTTCGAATAGGTAATGTATTTGCGTTGGTGATAACGACAAACCAATTTTTTAAATTATTATTTAAAGGCCTCGTTTGTCTCGGATTTGAATCGCAAGAATTTTCAGTATTTTCGAATTGTCTTCATAATACTTTATTTTAAATACTTATTTGAGTATTATAAATACTAACCCAACTCAATACTGCATTGTAAACTTCCCTTTCTTCTCTCACGTTAAGTTCATCTTTCCTGATCAGTGATATAAGTTCAGGCGCCGTCAGTTGTAGGAATTCTTCTTCTCGACAAACCTGCAAATATTTTACGTATATTTTTAAATATATATCTTTTTATCGCTGTAACTAAACCGAATTATTTTTTTGAGTAATATCGTTTAAAAACATCTGGTACAACATACTGTAACTTTTAAGTAACTTTAAGGATATATGGCCAACGTTAAATAAACGGATACCAAAGATCGTACAAGACACTAGCGGTCGCTTGCGACTTCGTCCGCACGGGGTTAAAAAAAAAACTTAAATTGTGCCTATGTGTTCTTCCAGCTATGTTCAACATCTATGCCAAATGTCAATGAGATCCATGGCGCCTCCTAAATTGTAATAAAGTCCAAGGGACCGTGATATTTTTCTCGTTTATAGAAGTTTCTCTCTAAAACGAAATTTCTCGCTTATGCAGGTCTTCCGTCGGGACCGAACAATGACTTTAGAAGTTTTTCACTTATTCGGTTTCGACTGTAATTGTATTAAAATCGTAATAATGTCGTTGAACCGACTTTATTCTATCACATATGATATACTACAACACGTCAGCATGTACGTAACCTAAAATTAGTACATTCGCCGATAACAAGCGATTAAATTATTATTACATAAAAAACGCCAGCTTGATAGTTACGTAGATATCGTTGACGGAAAATTTGCAATATTAGAATTTTTATCATCAATTTTAGAACATGTTATCCAAACATAACTGTAAAATAGACGAGGATTCTTTTCGATTTTCATCCTGTCGAAACTTTTATATAGTATAAAAATAAAAGTACTAAATACTGTTAAAGATTTGAATATTATAAATATTATGAATATTTATCAGTATTAAATACCGTTAAATATTTTAATATTATAATTATTTAACAATATTTGGTGCTATTACTCTTCCCAGTCTTTGCTATTTTGAGTAAAAATAATTATATTCAGCTTTTTTTATTGCAGTCTTTATGTTTTTTTCTATATTATTGCAAGGAAAGATCTGTTTCGAAGGGATAGAACATTCTAGTACCTCAGTGAAATGTCTCTCAATGAACTGGTTGGCTTTCTGCTTGAGCTTGACGCAGCCGTGCTGTTCCGAGAAGTTGGCGATGCCGATCGCATTGGAGGGGTCCAGCTGCCGCTCTAGGAACGCGCAGCACGCCTCCATCACGTTTGATATCTGTACAAACATACTATAATTATTGTGTTAGAATCATAAAAAATCTTACTTCTTACTAATGTTATAAATGCGAAAGTTTTGAAAGATGGATGTTTATTAGGTAACTACAGAACTTGAACGGGTTAGGATGGAATTTTAAATGGCGCATAGAATACTTATCGACTTTTTACGGAGTTACGGGTGACAGTTAAAAAATTTAGTCATATACGTCATGGTTGTACAAATAATCGGTAATCGATTTTTTTTTGTTTCTTAATTTTTTTCTCTTTAACGTTAGAAGCCAGAATACCAGATTACTGAAAAAGGGGGACGTAATTCTACGACATCGGAGGAATACTATGTGTTTTTTTTTTTAAATAAAAAGACAATGCACGATGTATAGGCCAATAATTTTGTGATAAGATTAGATAGAGAGCAGCGAAACGTTGATAGCGAATTTACATTCTATCATTATCTCTTTGTTATATTCTATTAGTAGCTTAAAACTTCAGAATTAGTTTCGACATAATGAATAAGGTCATTTTAAGAAATATCTGAACACTTTAAAGAGCTTTAATATTTATTTTTACAATCGTCTTTGTTTTTTATTGTATAGAAAGGTGTGTTCATTTTTTGTCTTATTTTGCTACAGCTTTAGTCGCATTACTTAAATTATAACATATACAAATAAAATACTTGTATGGTAATCATTAAAATGTTGAATATTTTAAAGCGCCTTCGATTGCTGTAAGCGTATAGAAAATGTTTTTACATCGGCGAGCGGCATGACTGAGCCAAAAATTTGAGCCGACTCACGATACTATTAAATACAACTAAAAAAAACTTTTATCCAAATGTATTTCGTATTTAGAAATAAGTATTATACGTGTCGTATAATACGTGTTATTTATTTCATAAAACAATTCAATTTTATTTTGGGTAAAACTAAGAATATGGGCTAGAATTCACTAAACGGGCTGAAATCAGTTTCGTATAGATATTTAACCCTGTAAATAACGAAAACCTACATATCGGGAACCTGACATTTTCAGAGAAAGAGTATGTGTGTTCTTATAGGCTATGTTCTACATATATGCGACATTGTACCGAGATCTCCAGAACGGCTTAACGAGCCCTTCATCCATCCATTTAGAATTTAGATTCTAAACATTCGCATGTAAAATATTAGTAAGAAGTAAGATTAATAATGATAATGTTTTGTTTAATAATGATAGATAATGATTAACCGAATCATTGTCTGAGGCAATAGATAACGTAACATTAGATTAGCCAGCTAATAGACTCATCAAAATTAGTTAAAAAAAAACCAATAACGTATAGGAATATACGCGTCACAACCTAATGTCAGTTCCAAACATATTTAACTTAGTTTCGATTAGCAATATGGTTATTCAAATACTTCACGTGTTATGCTTTTACCTGGAACATAGTAGCGGCGGGCAGCAGCTGACAGACGGTGACTTCTGTGATGCGAACTTTTCCCGTATACATGAAGTAGACGAGCCACGCCATAGCTGAAGGGCACACGCCCTGAAGCCGCACGCGAGACATCTCGCTTTCTTTTAGACCACTCGTGAACATCGCCTATGCAAAATAGATGATACAATGAGCTACGTAAATATAGGGTATCTGATACCCCAGATACTATATGAGTTCTAGAGAGTAACATAGTGATTTGGACTAGACTACTTGACAGATTTTAAAGATTTAAAGCATAATACGATTCATATTATTCACAGATATCTATGTAACAGATCATCATCTTCTTGGCTTTATCCCAGTTGCAGGGGATGGTCGCAAAATAAATATATGAATGACAATAATTCAAATAAGTAGTTTTAATTTAAAAAAAAAAAACATAAGGTGAATGACACCTTGATTAAACGTTGTTGTCCTTGTTTTTTTACAAAACCGAAGTTGATATAATTACTTTATCGTGTATTAAATCAATTTATATAAGAATTACCAATATTTTATTTTATGATAAACACTTCTTCGTAGCTTCGAGAACATCAAATAGGCGGGGAAAAATATATTTTGTTCACGTATCGTACATTGTGCCATTTAGAGTTTACTGAGGGGTCAATGTCGCGATAATGGCATTCGCAGTTGCGGTGTTCCACATTTTCATAGAAAAAACATATATTCCAAAACAAGTTCGAACAGTTTTTAAATATCACGCCGTTAATATACATACAAACTTGGTATAAATGTTTGTAGAAAAGATAAAAGTGAACATATATTGTCATGAAACAGAAAATATTATATACATGGAGCGAAAGAGGTGTATCAAATTATTTTAATTATGACCATCTTCAAGCAAAAATTACCATATTTGATGATTTCCTTGATACCAAAAAAAATATTTTTGATATCAGGGAAATCTTCCAAAGATAGGGTATTTTAGGGCGCCGCCGACTACTTATGCCCGGCGCCCTGGGCCTTCGCCCAGGCATCTAACCGATATGCATACTCGCAACAATACCTCGTGTCAGTTGAGTAAAAAGGTATGATCTAAGTACTAGGAGAATGTGATGATTACCTTAAAATATGGACTGCCGGCGGCGAGCACCACTTTGTGGACGTGGAACAGTTCATTGCCGACCTCCAACACCACATCGGTCAGCATGTGGTGCGATCTCATGGTGAACAACATCTGTGGACGTACAGAGTTCATTAAAATACCAACCACATTATAATAAACGGTTAAATGTTGTTTGACGCTTAATCCAATTACGTCCTAAACTTATTACCACGGGTTTCTGTGACCAAAATCTCTGCATAAAACATATCTCTGTCATTACCTTGGAAAAAAAATAACAGAGATAACAACATATTTTAAACCACTGTGGTTTCTGAAACCCACAGTTAGAGAACTGTTTTTTATTTAGTAAATACATATATAACATAACTACTTAATCCATAAAAAGTATCACGATACATAAAAACCAAGTATTTATTCATATTTATGTATACATTTTATTCGTATCAAATTTTTTCTTCGTCTCTAACTGAATTTATCTAATGTTATTATCTACTTGTTACATAATAAAACAATGTTGAATATTTTAAATAATTGATTTTGCATTGTTACAACTTTTAAAAGCAACAGATATCCTTTCAGTCATGGCTGCGGCGGTCACGTGGTGTGATGACGTCACGGCAAAATGTGCACAGTCATGCCCGCTTGCGGTATTTAAACAAGCAAGTCACATTATGGCGATAAAATTTAACATTAACCAGTTTCATATCTCTATCCATTTTAATTACATACAAATAATGGAAAGAGCATGAAAGATTAAATCATAAAATTCATAAAAAATTTGAAGATGAAACTCTCAACGAAACTAAAACTCAACGAAAACTAGTTCGATTATAAAAAGAATTTGAAGTGTTGTCATGAATAGGCTTCAAAATAAAATCAATTTGAATTTTTTTCCACTTATGATATAGGCTAAATTTATAGTACGTCGCGGGCAAATAATGGTTAATAATCTTGTGAAAAGTTCCACATTATGTACGAAAACACGTCATTATAGCCAAGAGGAAGTGGGATACGTGGAGAAAAAGTCGTCGTATTCAAGATGGGGGAGAAAATCCTATGCCTGTACTGAATAGACGACTCGCTTCTACGATCCAGCGTTGTGGGTACGGAGAGCGCGCAAAGCGGTACTTGCAAAGACGAAAATTACGATTCCTCGTGTACTAAAGGCCAAAGTACGTAAAATTTTATCACAACATGACTAATGTTTTCTTAAGTTAGCTGACACTTTTTTTATAAATAGGCTAATTGTGATAATAAAATATTTTAGTAATTTAACCGTTTGGCGGCGAAGATGTAACTTTATTGATGAATAATTAAGATTGTTTTCTTTTATTGTAGGTTTTTTTTTTAATTTATTAGCTCAATGACTGACATAAAGATGGAATTAACTTTACGTTTATATGTACAAAATGACCCTTTTTATCTAATCTTGCAATGTTATGTCACGAGATATAATTTGTCCGTTTTATGATGATTAGTTTGACATTAAAGTAGATATGTGTTATGTAAAATCGGTTATGTATATTTTCGATTCTCGATGCTTGTTCTCATAAAATTTGAAATCGATTATTGATGCAAGCAAAATATCCCATAATGTATTTTTTTTTATTTCAATGGGTCAAACCCCACACAATCCTGTCTTCCCATAGAAAAAACAAAAAAGGTGCGACCCTAAAACCACTAAAATTTGGTTTGATTTGAACCAGTCTATATGGGAGAGATTTCTACGATATCATTTTAAGCTAGCCAATAGTTATTGTAAAAACTTAATACGGATATCCTATTCTCATGTTTTACAACTATGAAAATAGTCTTAAACACACAGCTCAACAAAAAGACCATTCACTGACGTCACTAATGCGTAACACTGATAAAGTTCACCTTCAAAACATCCGTTAAAGAGCTATGAACTCTAGGTGGCAATACATCTAATATGATTCAAACACAATAAACTACCACAGAATCAAAAAGTTTGATTATCGCTAAATTTATTTTTGTTTGAACGATTATTATATCGATTTAATCAGTGCTATCTATTTAATTACAATTAGATTAATAATAATAAACGTCATACTTATATATCCTTTGTGTTTTGAAATAAAAAAGGTTAAAGGAGGGAAACGTCAAATTCATTATGGCAAATCCCCTTAAATATGTCCTTGAACGATTTGTGTACGTGACTACGAATCGTGTTCATTTCGTGGCCGATGTGCACTGTCATGGTGATATTTCACCGCAGGTAATAAACATACACCGCCGCGTTGTAAAAATGAACACAGCATTAAACAAGACAGATAAAGAGATATTACTTAGTGTATCGATGTATTTGTTCAGGTTATCAAAAGGGGCAGTGAATTTGGATATGACTGCTGATAACAATACATAAAAGATTTGCGAGAAAGTATTCTTTGCGTCATCGACAAAAATTGTATTAGTTTTGAATCGCGCGTAAAGTACAATGACAAATAACATTCAAATTTTGACAAAGACGATGAAGTTACGGCAGGTACATACTGTAACGACCCCCAGTACGAAAGAAAGAAATTACAATATAAATAAAAAGTGTTCAGAGGTATTACAAGAACCAAACTTTATAGAGGCTGGTGGTAATATACGATAGAATGGGTGTGCACCGTACCGTCAACTCTTTACATCCCATGATACATGAAACCTTTATATTATGCGCGGTGTCTCATGTGAATTCGCCAGCAGTTGTAAAATTTGGATAGAACTGTACAGCTTTTATACATTTAAATTAAGTACTAAGTGATTATCCAGAGAGTAGTTTAAGGTTACCTTCATGAAATCGGGCACATAGTTGCTGAGGCAGAAGGTCATGTCCCCGATGTCATTGTTGCCTGTGGTAGCGGCGTCGTCTATGGTAGTGTCGCAGTTTATGGGCGGCATACCGTCCAACAGGTTGCCTCGGCCCACCTCTTCATCCGTCTCCATATCGTTGTCTGTGGAAGTTAACATACTTTTTATTTTGTTTTCATTTAACCTGTGCAAATGTTAGTCAACATTATTTGTTAATGATGCTAATTTATAGCGTCTAGACGGAAAACACTACATGAATATGAAGCCTACTTTCTAAGTGTCATTGTACCTATGTTAAACAAATCGTTTATGCAGCTTTACTACGAGATTTTATGAAATCAACTATAAGTGACTTCAATTGTTTTTTTTTGACCTAAATTAGCTATCTGGTCATGGATAATTACTTTAGTACTATTCTACGCGTTATATGTTACAAAACATCAGATAAAATGTCTACATTGACTCCCCACATCTTTTGCTTCAAACCTATTTACGTATGATCGGTAATAATATTTGAGATCACTTGATCATTGCTAATTTCTTATATTCTTTCAAGTGACTTTCTTAATTTTAGTTACAAGATAACCTTACAACCCAATTATTGTTTAACGCTATTTTCGATCTTATAACATTGAGTCACACCTACTTCTCGTTGACCTCATCTTTACAGTTTGCTTTACCAGCATGCTATTAGCTTTTATTTCCCAAATGCCGTAGAATTCATCAAAATAATGAATCATTGTGTTATTTACCATTACTGGGGTCAAGTGTATTTTAACGACTACCGAATGTACAGACAATTTCTATACTTGAATTTATTATGTAAATATGAAACGACTATACGATAACAATACAAGTTTATGCATTCATACACAACCCAAAGATAAATAGGATAGGTTGATAATGTTATTAATAATAAACTTTGTTAAGTGCATGTTAAGTCGTGTACATAGGTACCCTAGGTTCCCGAAAAATAACATGCCATGCCTCTTATTGTTAAAAACTAAGATAACTATATACAATCCAACCAAGCGAAAGTCTAAGGGGCCACGATATTTATCTCTTTAACATTTAATTCTCCCTATCTCGTATTTCTAACTTCGTCTGTCAAGTCATTGTCTAGTCCTAACGGAGAGCTTCAGTTAGGACATGAAAATGACTCTCGCTAATAGAGGTTTCTCGCTTATTCAGATTCGAATTATTTTTTATGGATTTTCCGGCAATGAAAAGTTACGTTAAAATTTCTAAGCACATCATGATTTGTTTATGCGTGGGGAATCCCCGATTACGTTTGTGTGTGTGTGTGTGTTGTTATGATTATAGTGCGTACGTAGTCAGGCTTTAAATAGCTAATAGTGTAATAACAATATTTGTTTTCTTTAACGCAAATTAATATTTTATAATATTAAAATATTGTGCCGTGACTAAATTCAAAATCGTATGCCGTTCAATCAGGTCTTCCGAGACACCTGGTATGAAGCATGCCATGAATGTTTCGAGAAGTTTACACTACTAAAAAGTTGTATGTAACATAGTCATGGAGTTTTAGCATTCATGATAAAATATTTATTTGCTTGCTTATCAAAATCCAACGCACCTAAATCCGCCGTAAACGTTTATTTCTCGAAATACGTGTTCAATAATCGAATCGTTTCGCCAATATATGATTGAAAACTATTTAGTGATATTTTTAAACCCGGTTTCTTAATGGAAACTATTATATGAATATTCAAAACATCTAAATTTATAAAACTTGAATGTATTGATATTCAAGTTTTTATCAGTTATATTTTTTGGGAATTGGTACAGTACAACCCGGTATAACGAAACAAAAAGATTTGGCTAAAAATAACACACAACAATCTTACTGTATGGGTTTGATTTTCCACAACTCTACAATAATTTTATGATAGAGTTGACCACAACCTAAGAAAAGTATTCCTCACCATCATCATCACTAACACAGGTGCCTTGTTGAACACTTTTATCCAACTTCATTGTTATAAATCACTTATTTAATTTTAACTATAACAAATTCTATAATCACTATCACAAAACCAACACTACAATATTTCTCCAAAGTAAAAAAGGCACAACGGAACTTTTCGAAAATTTCGATAAAAATATTAAAAGCAGTTACTGCTTTTTACTTTTAAAATGCGCACACAACAATAACTGGTAAACAAAACAAAATAATCCAGACGTATCAATGCAAAACATTTCGCGAAAAAAAAAACTTATGAAATGTTTTCGTTTTGGGTGTAACGCGGCGACTGGCTATAGACAGTGCTGCGAACGCCGTCGGTGTTGAATCGCAGAGGAGCCGTGACTCGACAAAACCAACGAATTCCTACAATTGGGTGACAATATACCATTCGTTATATTCCTCTCTCACTCTTTCTTTTGTAACCTAGTGGTAAAAATGTCTTGTAAAATGGTTCAGTTCTCAGAAAAATAGAAAATATCCATGCAACAGATTTTGGAGCTCGCGTCTACCACAGTTGAAGAGCGCTTTTCTGAGCGCCTTCATAATCCCAATATCTCATGATCTTGGATGATGCCAATGTTGTTTACTCATAATCTGTATCATCCTATGTTATTCAAAGGGGAAAGGTATGAGAATTTGATGAAGGGTGTGCATAAGAAGTGGAAATATTCTCTGTCTCTGCGTCTCCTCCTTCGATTAAAGGTATGCAACACATTTGCAATTGCATTTTCGGCGAATTCTGCCTTGCCTGTTTGCTACTTTATAATATAAAGAAATATTAAACTAAGATTTTCCAGGGGTTATTGCCATTCTCCAATTGCACCATAATAATGACTTATTTGTAATTAGTGAAAAACAAGTCATAATCCTTACAATTTAAAAAAAAGTTTCTTAATCTAGATTGTTATTTGATAAGAAACTAAAAAAAAGCTTAATCATGGCCATTCCTAAGAATTATGAATAGCACTAGCATTTATCAATAAACAAATAATTTAATAAAAAGACAGGTTAGAACAATTTAAATTTAATTTGTCTAAGCTAATAATATGAAAATCAGAATAATTATACAATTGTTCAAGAATAAAATATTATATATGTATGTCATGATAAGTCAAGCATTGTGATGGGAGTTGAAAATCATTTTTGCGAATTCAAAGTTCTAACATGTGATATTCAAAATTCTAATCACCAAAAATTTTTAATGATGTACATAGAAAAAAGCAAAAATTAGTTTGTACTTGTATATTGGTTACAAGGTTAATTTAATCCAATTAACTTTGAGGTCAATGAACACCAAATCAACCAATTTCATAACATTGTTTATTTTATTATTAATTTTTCAAGAAACCTTAGGAATTATATCTGGAAATATAATTACTGTTGTTTTGAGCTAAGGAATGTCTAAATAAAAACTATCATTTCACTGTCAACAAATTAATGACTAATGCAAAAAATCTATCTTGTTAATTATTTCGCCTTCAATTCCCTTTAGCTGGGTCATTGTTGCATAAATGGTACTCATTTATAGGTAGTCCAAGGATTGGTGCGACCCATAGAATCCAATACCGAAAGCAAGTGAAAATTATAGTAGTATCGAGGAATGTAAATTCCGTACATGAAAGCCATTACAATAGTTCACCTTTCCACTTTTTTTGTGAAAATTGTTAGAATCTATAAACTTGTTACCGTTTTTATAGTTAGCTGAGAACAAATGTGTCAATGGAAATTTTCTAGTTTTACTGAAAAAAGTGCAGTTTGCAAGAGCTATATAATTCTTATATGTATACATATACTTCTTTCCTATCCAACCTCCCTTTGGATTGACTTTACCTTCTCAACCTTTCTTTATAAGTAAATATCTGTATGATCTTTATTCTGCGAGGTTATGGTATTTCAGGCGTCAGCGTAGTGTTAGGGGCGACAAATAATATTGTTATAGCTTCAAAAATATACTACTATTTTTTCTTCAATCCATCCAGATGTTTCCATATTAATATCATTATGGAACTTAAAACAATAAATTACTTTTCTTTTAACTAGATATGTAAAATTAAAATTTGCTATAGCACTTCACCAAAACATTAAATTAATCATAATATGCTTTTTTTGGTGACAAAAATGTTTATTGAACTTTAATTTATTAAATTTCCAATCAAAATTTTAAATTGTAAAAATGTATGTTTGATTTCAAATTAAATAAGAACATCTATAAACCTCATATTAACATTTTTATTTGATAGAATCAGTTAGTATAAAATATATCAATTAGAAAGTCGCACAAAAATATCTTTGAGGTAGATTTAATGAATCATAATTAAGAAAATTTCTAGTCTAAATGATAAATTTACTTACTCTTGTAGACAATCTTTTTGCGAAGTAATACACCGGAATAGTAGTGCTAGTTTATTCACTTTTACACTGATTAAAAAGATTTAGATCATTCAAAACTGTGGTTAGTAGTGGTTTTTCACAATTTTATTTTAAATTACATACAAATCACAAACGAAAACTTCAATGTTTTAAAATTGAACGATACATTTCTAATATTAGTATATATGTAGACATAAGAGCAAATATTAAAAAATCATAAACATTATAAACACATATCTTGTTGACACTTGTGTGAAACTGAAATATGTTGTGTGACATATCATTTTTTTTAATTTTACGACCTGGTAAGATAGACCTTTAGGTCGATTGACATATCACTTCACTTCAATCCATAAGACATCTTTTATATACTCTTTGGTGGTGACATTTCGTGTAGGTAGACCATTTACTCTTTGATTTAGGCTTTCAATATAAAAGAAAGCTACTGAAAAAGACTTGTAAATTTTACACATTTGGTAGATTTATGGCAGTTAAATTTGTGACAGATCATTAATTTTATTTAGGGCACCTTAAATTTGTATTTCAAAAATAAAATATAGCAACTTATTTATCATGTTATATAGTTTAAAAACTAAATTGTTCTAACTTAAAAAATCAAATTACTTTTAAATTATGCTATTATTAAAAATATCAACAATTTTTGATACTTAGAATACGTTTTTCGTTGTATCATTATTGCGTTACGTATAACATTACGTAGTCAAAAAATTGACAAGTTATTGCTTAAAAAAAATATTAAAAATTGAGCATTAAATTAATATTTAAATCCATTAACGCATTTTTTACGTATTTTATTAATTAAGAAAATGTTTAGCAAATAATCATAAAATTGGATCTGGAAATAACCAGAGAAATAATTGAAAATTAAACATAATTAAAAAATACATATTATTTACGTTGTTCAAAAAATGTCTAATTTCATTAATTAAATTACATAAAACTAATATATGTACTGAATTTTGCATTTTTCATGCTAATTGCGTGCACACAATTCCTGGACATAATCATGTTTAAGCTATTATTTAAAATTAAAAATAATTGAAATAGAAAAAACATGGCAGTGACACGTAGTTAGACTTAAATGGCGTTTGCATTGACTACTTTTGCTTCAATACTGTAAAGAGGTCCATAAAAATATGAAACCTCCTTGGATGAGATGCTACGTGTTTGCGTGCATTAAATTCATAATATGAATGTGTCCGGGATGATCAACTGTTACAAAACAAGAAAACTTCTCGTCACAACAAAGTTTCTTCGCATTCACACCGGATAATTTTATGCAAGCCAAAATTTCTTTCTTCTTTGAACCTTCTTTGCAACTAAAAAAAATAATATAACGTAATATTAAAAATGTAGGAAAAGATAAATGACTACATATAATAATTATAGGTTATTACAACTTAAAAATTATTTAAGCCACATTTTGGACAGTGAATCATTATCTAATACCCAATATAGTTTATTTTATTATAGTTTGGTATTGCTATCATTATAATTTAGATTATTGTCCCAATATAGTTATTATATAGCAACACCAAACTAAAATAAAGTATATTGGGATAATAATGTAAATTCTTATTTTGTCATTAACATTTTTAAATACTCACGTTTTCCCTTTCCAAAAGCGTTTCCAGCACTCCTGCGCATTCATCAATCCGGAGCCAAAGAAGAAGTTATTGTGTGCACTTTCAATATCCAAGTTGTCCATCGCTGTGGTAAGATTCACCGTGTCTACTGGACTTGCGATAGGCGTTACTGCATTCCAGCGATTCCTAAACCATAAAAATAATAAAATCTTACTGCCGTTGGAAAAGTTACTTACTGGTGATTTAAATATTTGCTTAGTGGAGATTTTCCATAATGAATTTTCATTAACTTGTTCAATGACCCGTTAATATTTATTTATTTACCATTATTTTTTTTATCAAAAATCTTTATTGTTCCACAAACTAAATTAATTTGAAAAGTAAAATCTGCTCTGAGAGTTCGAGAAAGTGCACGCAAAAATATTTACATTACAGTTTCATGTCAAAACGTAGGAAAATACCTCCAAAAGTTTTTATTAATCCTGGTCTTCATGATGTATGTAATGTTCCACCAGACCATTCCACCGCTGCCATGGTGATGAGCACGAGGGGCGGGGCGTCGTCGTCAGTGGACGGGGCGGGGGCGGTGGGTGGGGCGGGTGAGTGCGGGGCGGTGCTGGGCGAGTGGGGGGCGCCGCGCGTCAGCCGCTCCGGCACTTGGGAGAACCGGCACCACTGCACCTTCGCCTTGTGGTGCTTTAGGAACCGTAGCTGACGCTGATTGCTCACGTGCCAAACCTGCAATATAATCAACATAAGTTGTCACTCGCGAATTCTATTGAAAAAGACTTAATTGATAGCCTATACGTTCTTCCACAGTATGTTTTAAATTTTGTAACTCTACACCTCTCAAGTCAGTTCTAATCGGTGATTCCGAAGTGACTAAGACATCAAGTTTAATGTTAGATTCCCAAGTAAGATGTTGCCGATCGCGAGTTCGATAGTAAATAACGCCTTCTCGATTCAAGACATCCGTGCCGATTATAATCGGTGTATTTATAAACTCTGGACTCGCTAAATTCTATTGATAGAGTTATAAAATAAGTGGACTCTATTTCTTGACCGCCAATGCCTCGCAATACTTTAAAGGCAGGCTTGCAGGCGTATTTAAAGTGTTTTAACAAGTGGGAAGAAATTAGTGATATACTTGAACCGGAATCGATAAGAACGTCAACTGGAATCCCTTGTACAATCGCTACGACAATATCGTTACGCCTCTTATTTAGCTTTTCCCGGCAAAAGTGAACAATATTTGTATTTCGCGATTCTGACTTCATCTTTGCAAAACAAGTTTCAACTTTATGACCAAGCTTTTTACAGAAACTACACGGTTCAGATTTTACTGTATTTTGAAGAGAATGACTTTTCCGATCGCTATTAGTATTAGTGTCGTTATTTGTTGCTATCTTAGGTCTTTTAAAACAATTTGACTGTTTATGCCCTTGCTTACCACATATAAAACATTTACCGGACTCGAACCGCCGTTTGCGATCGTATACCCCATGTCTATTGTTAAACGAACGATCATGACGCAACCCACTTGAGTTTTTGTTATTATAGAATGAGGGGCATTAGACTTGACATAAATAGAAAGGAACTGTACTAAATCATTTGGCATTAATTTGGCGTTGGTAGCAGATGCGCGGATCTGCGGATCTGTGATGCCCCATATAACTATTGCCGATATCAGCTCATCGCTTAACCCCCTAATGATTCGTAATCGTAAAACCTCGGACCTACGAGCATAATCAGCGTATGTAAGGAAGCTATCCGAATTGGTGCTCATAACCTCGTACAGAATGTTGGCTATGTCTGTTTTTTTTGGACATAAAGGCTTAAATTCGTTTTTAAAATTACTCCAACTGCGGTCATTCGTTACCCATTCACTGAGCCACGTTTTAGCATCTCCTTGTAAACAATTGCCAATGCGAGAAAGACATTCGTGATCACTCCAATTATTAGAAGACCTAGCACGGTCTACTTCTTCACACCATAAATTAGAAATATAATAAGACCCGTTAAATCTCACCGGTATATTTATGGATCGTATCGGATCGATGATGCGATCGGCGGCGCTGGCCTGGACTGAGGTATCGCTCGTGTCTGTAGCGTGAATCATGTTGGCTAGAAAGCGATCTGCGATTTCGCGACCGACTCCTACTCTGCCGCCTCTTATTAGGCATGTTTTCTTTTTTTTAGCAAGTATTTAAAATTAGACGTAATTCCAAGCAGGACATTCAAGTTACGGTAAATAATTG